AAAGCTGGCTTTCAAGGTCAAGAAACCAGGCGGCACTTGCTTTAATCAGAGAGCTACAGTCAAGAGGAAGGGGCTACCTGGCCACAAGGAAGAGATCATGCTTGCTAATCAGCCCGTCAGGCTGGCAGCCGTGTCCTTCGACAAAAGAAAATGACGGCCCGACTTGAGACTTTCAACCAGCAACCTGGGATGTTTTTTTCCCACTTTGGAGGAGCTGCTGCTAGTTCATCTGGCTCATGGAGTGACAGGGTGATTATAATTTATTTTGACACTCAGGAGAGTATTGTGACGGGGGAAAAGTCAGAAATGTACTGTGTGGAAGCCCCAGTGCGTGTCTATCATATAATTATCCTTTCTCTGCTATCTGGAAACACAAGACAAGCCCGGATGGGAAGCTGCCTGGGCTGGTGAAAACAAAGTGGTGGACATGGACTCCAGTGTGTGGGACTGCATAAGAGGAGAGGTACAGGCATCACCCACAGGCAATTGGAGCAGGTGCACTGATGCCCACCTGCTGCATATCAGCCTTGGGCATAGCATTGATGTATGACCCAGGAATCCCATTCCAGCAAGGACCTCCAAGGCACATTGAACAGGAAGTTCAGAGGCAGTTGTGAAAAATCTCTAGGCACGTTGCTCAGTTGTTCGTTCTTCTTTGAAGACGAGGTACTGGTGGCTCTGGTCAGTGTGGAATTAGGCAACACTACGGTGAATGGCAAGAAGGCAATTCAACTCAAAGAACACTGGTGAAGACGTACTGCATGTCAGATGCTGTGCTTACAAAATGAACAAAACAGTCTATACCCTCCAAGAGCTCACATCTAGGACCATGTGGCCCATCACAAAAAGATAGACAGTTCTGAGATAAAGAGGTTCCATCAACAGCAAAGTTCGGCGAGTGCGGCATAGTCCACCCGCTCTTGGAGATTGACGCTGTAAGTGTGCTTAATAAAGGCACTGAAAAGTCCTCCAGGGAAACTCTGCTTCGCGGTGTTTGTCACATATTTCCCAAATCTGTTTCTCTACTGAATCTATAAAGCCAGAGTTCCTTGGAACCAATTTAGGGAATGCTGGTTTAGGGAGTTTATCCAGCCTTTACAGAACACGGAAGTAAGGAAACCATGATCCAGCCTCCAGGGGAGGTACTGGTGAGGGCCAAGCATTGCACTCAGCAGATAGGCTGAGGTTCAGAGTAAAGCCTGGTCTTAGAGGCAGACTAGAGGACCACGTGGAGACATGGTATAGACTACAGAATGTGTGTGTGCATATGTGTGTGTGTTGAGGGTTGTTGTGATAGCCACAATAGAAACCCAGATCTGCACGCTAAGACCATGGGCAGGGTGGAAGGGAGAAGGGACCTTGTAAGAGAGAGGGCTGTCCTGTCACCCTTTGTCCCACATTCTTTGCACAACTTAATCCTAGTCTCCTGTATTTTAGGCCTTTGCCTGCACTGCCATAATTGGCTTAGAACCCAGGACAGAGTTTGATACTACAGGGCATCTTCTCTGAACACTAATGTACTAGGCACTGTACAAATAGGTCATCCCATGAAATCCTCACAATAAGCAAAGAGGAATGTTGAAAATGGGGAAACTGAGGCTCAGAGATGAATACTGTGGCCATGGGCACACAGCTTCTAAAGACTTGAACCCAGATATGTCACCTCAGAGTCATTGTCTTCAATGCTGCAAACCTATTTACATGGCTTAGGCACAATGCGATTCCCACAGAGGCGTGATTTCCTCCAAAGTAAATCCAGTGATGCGTTCATGTCTGGGTTAAGACAAACATGGGGCTGAAGACCGAGTTCAGTTGTTCCATAACCATGCTTTAAAATAAAAAGCATTTTCTGTGTACACTTGGGAATATTCCAAGATAATTTTGTGTTATATTGTGTTATCAAATCTGTAAACAAAAAGGTATCCTCAGTGAATTTCCTGGTGAAAACTAAAGACTCATCAACCTGAGAGGTCTTTTTTTTTTCTTCCTCTAATCATTTTAATGCATATGTCAGTTGCAAGCCATGATGACTTCATTTTTATACCCTCTATGACTTCAATTAAAGGCAGATTAAATAGGGCACAAATCCAATCAATCAAGCATTCATTAGACATTAACTAGGTGCAAGGCCCTGGGTCAAGTGTACTTAACCAGAGACTGGTGTGGAATTGATGGGGTTAAGGCTTCCTTCTATGTCTTTGGCCACACGGAGCTCCCTACAGCAAATCCCTGGGTAAGATCACAGGCCTGAAATCTGCCTCTGATTTCTGATGGGGTCATTCTCAAGTTTGCCTAGATTAGGAAGGTTAATATGTGTCACATTTCACATCAGTTTCCGTAGACTGCAAGTGACGGCCTAGACCACTGTTTGATATCACTGGTTCTGCAGCATGGTCAATGGGAGACAGAGCCATGTAGTTCCTGCTGTCTTCCAGAGGCAAGGGGGCTGCATAGGCCAAGAATGTGCTTTTTGGGCGCTGAACCTTGAAGCTTGCCCTGAGACCGTTTCTCAGGGCAAAGAAACAAGGTGGATAGGAAGTGCACCTTGAAGCATGTGGCTGGATGGCACCATTGGTGAAATTAACCGAGACTGCTTAACAAATCAATCGAACATTGAGGGTGGCCAGATCTTCCTTGTTTATCTGATCAATCAGGCCTAATGGCTGATAATCTAATTCCAGTGGTGAGGGAAAAAAAAAAAAACTGGCTTTGATGATTAGAGAAGCATTGGTATGGAAGGGAAAGCAATACTGGGAGGTGGTAAAACCAGATGAATTCTATCTTTCCTTTAGGCCTCAGTGTTTTCTTTGTACGAGTATTCCTGCTTCTTTGATGAACATACATCAGCTGCTTTGATCTCTTCCGGTTAGGTCACACTTTGAGTCCAGACAGATTCAAAATCAGAAGATGAGGCCTTACATTTGTAGAAGAATATATTGGGATAAAAAGTTATAGTTAGGCAGGATGCCCTAAGCCAAATATGATAGCAATACAATTGCTATTGTCAATCATCAAAACCAACAGGCATGTTTTTTTGGGTACTTATAATTATACTCTTTGTAAATTAAATTTTAATGGCCAAAGCAATACATTCACCTTGTAAAAATAAACAAAATGTTATAGATGAGGCCAACATCTTTCCCGATGACCATGCCAAATCCCAATCCCCTCTCTTCTTCTCTACATTTAACCACCATCACCAGAAAGAAGTTCTCCTTATAGACCTTGTTCTATGCACTTATAAACTGTACCTGTAAAACATGTGAATACAGTATTGTGGTATGTTCTGTGTGCAAGTTCACAAAAATGATATCACTATCATCCTGTGGGTAAGGAAAGTTAAAATGTGCCACATTTCACATCAGTTTCCATATACTTCAAGTGGCTGCCTGGACCGCTGTTTGAGAATGCTGATTCCATGCCGAGGTCAATGGGAAACAGAACCATGTTGTTCCTGCTGCCATCCAAAGGCAAGGGGCTGCATGAGGCAAGAATGTTCTGTTCTGGTGCTGAACCCCGAACATTCCTCAACCTGACATTTTTACTAGATAATATATCTTGAAGAGTTTCCCACATTAGAACCCGTTAGATCTACAATCTTTTTAAGCTGCTGTAAAGTATCTCAGTGTGAGAATACTATCATTTTAACAATTCCCCTGTTGATGAACAGCTAGGCTGTTTCTAAATTTTTCACCTTGACAGATAATTCGGCTAGAAATTTGTTTGCACAGGTCCCTTGTGGACACATGCAGTTGTTTCTGAAAGTAGGTGCCAAGGAGGTGAAGGCATTGTGTTTACCCTTTGCTGCCCAATGGTCCTTGACAGCGGATATACCCGTTTCCCTTTATATCAGCTGCATGGGAGGAAGACCCATTATCTGATACCCTTCTCAATCATTGACATAACCTAACACTCCACATGCTTGTTATAGAATCAGGTCCTGTTTGTGTGACTCTTGCTTGTTTTGAGTGAACCCAACCGTGGTACCCTCATTTTATATTGGAAGTCCCTAAAATAACTCGGCTGCTACATAGTGGGTACACGTTAGGTTTGCTCTCGTTCCTTTTAACTGGAATGTCTTTTTGCTTTGGGGTCCCTTCTACTTGTTCCTGCCTACTCTCTTCTTAGGTGTCTGCATCAGACACCTTTGTGCAAACCCCAGACTCGGTGAGGTTGTTTGCCTCTGTATTCATAACACCCTCTCTCAATGTACCTGATAGGTCTTATGGCTTGTTATATGTTTATCTCTTCTAGTGATTTCTGAGCTCCTGCACACCTGGGAACATGCCTCTTTGTACTCTTGTTTCCCCAACACCCAGCCCAGGCACATAGAGTTGGCATTCAATAAGAGCTTTAAAAATGAAGGCCATAGCTAGGTGTGGTGGCTCATGCCTGTAATTCCAGCACTCTGGGAGGCCGAGGCAGGTGGATCACCTGAGGTCAGGAGTTCAAGACAAACCAGGCCAAAATGGTAAAACCACATTTCTACTAAAAATACAAAAAATAGCTGGACATGTTAGTGCACGACTGTAATCTCAGCTACTCAGGAGGCTGAGGCAGGAGAATCACGTGAACCTGGAAGGCGGAGATTGCAGTGAGCCGAGATCACGCCACTGCACTCCAGCTTGGGTGACAGAGTGAGACTCTGTCTCAAAAAAAGAAAAATGAAAATAGAATGTCCCTGTCGCAAAGCCACGTCCACAGTGGAATGAAAACCCCTGAAAATAAACAGTGTATCAACAGAGGGAAAAATTAAGCAGTCAGTCTGCTGAACAGCAAAGATTTTTTTTTCTTTATTTCAGGTCTTTCCATGGGATGGAGCAGGGAAGGAAAGGAGGAAGAACAGCTGAAACATAGCAAAGCTTAGGAAATACTTTTCTTTTTTAATCTGGAGAGTGATTGGCACACTGCTGCATTGCTATTGCCCAGGTGGGGAAGGGGCTCTGACCATTGCTAACCCATTGATAACCGTTCCCTGCCTTTCTGTCCTGCCGCGATAGGGACCACAGTGATGCGGATGACAGCCTTTGATGCAGATGACCCAGCCACTGATAATGCCCTCCTGCGGTATAATATCCGTCAGCAGACGCCTGACAAGCCATCTCCCAACATGTTCTACATCGATCCTGAGAAAGGAGACATTGTCACTGTTGTGTCACCTGCACTGCTGGACCGAGAGGTGAGCTGAAAAGAATACGCTTTCTTTTTCACGAGAACAGAATGTGGCTTCATGCAAGGGATGATGTGGGGCTCCAGTCAGTGGCTTTTTATACTGTAAAGGCAGAAATCAGGTGTTTACCGTGTTTTGGTGGGGAAAATCTATAAAGGGAAATGGGATATTGTGTGACCCCAGAAAACACGTGCTCTAAAAGGCTAAAGCGCTTGGAACTGTTTGTATTCACTCAACCTGACACCTGTTTCCTCAACAGCCACTTACTCTCTAGGCCCTGGTGATTCCAGACTCTGCCTCTAGCCCCTGCTTTGATGCTAGAAGGGAGAGGGAAAGACGAGGGAAGGAGGTGAAGGGAGGGGGGTGGCTTCATCCAAGATCACAGAGGCTGTCCCTGCTGCAGAGTCAAATGGCCGTGACTCCCTTCTCCAACCCTTTGCTGCAGGCGTCCTGCATTCCTCCTAGAACCCCTCTCTTCCTCCATCTCTGTTCTCGTCCCTTTCGGCTCTCTCTGCGAAATCTCCCCCGTCTCCTGGGTCACATGTCACAAACAGGTGACCCCTGGACCAGTCAGTCCACATGCCTGCTCTTTGGTTTTGCCCATGGTGTTTTACAGCTTTTAGAATTAGTTGCCATATCAAAATATTTAGATTTCATATTTCTGTTTTAAAAATGCCAATTTCCAGTTTTTCTAGAAATCAGAAATCCTGGAGACATCAGGTCCACTTTCCACACATGCACCATCGGTGACGTGAGGTGTGATGCTCCAGTGGATCCAGGGTCTGCTGCCCCCTTCAGATGAGACATGTGCTCCCACCTCGATTACATTTCCACCTGCATGGGCCCCTCTGGCCCTGCCCTTTCCTGAGTTTGAGGTCCACCCTGTAGCTTACCATAAGCTACCTTAAGTAGAAGACCCTCGCGGCCCTCCAAACTCAACATCCTTAAACCAACTCGTGGATTCCTACCCATTCTTCATTCTCCATCCACCCTAAGCCTGCTCCTATTCTGCAATTCCCTGCTCCTGACATCATCCCACAGACATAGCACCTTGGAGTTGTCCTTGACCTTCTGCAAGAACCATCCGCTCTGTGGTAACTGCTAGGCTTCCCTCAGGGGCTCTGCGCATTTCCCCCTCAGTGTTTTTGATGAAATAAATCCATGATTCGGAATGTCGTTTTCTCTGCTTTCTCCTCTCTTACATGCTGTAGTTTCTCAAGAGATTCTGGATTACATCATCGCTCCCTAAGAAGCTGTCCTCATACACCTGATTCTTCCACATTCTTGTTCTTCCTCCCATCTCTGACTACCCTTGCCTGTCGCCATCCTACAGAAATTGGCATGTGCTAATTAAGGTTGTCATTTGTCTCTGAAGAAGATTCTCTTTCTCTTGGTCTAGGCCTGAATTGTCCAGTACAGAAACCACTAGTCACATGGGGTTATTGCAATTTTAAAGTATATTAACTGAAATCAAGATGTAAAAATCAGGTTCTCGGTCACATGGGCCACACTTCAAGTGCTCAGCGGTCATACATGGTTGGTGGCTATTGTACTGGACAGCGCAAATCTAGAACACTTCCATCACCCCAGAAGGTTCTATGGGGCAACAATGGCCTAGACTGTACATTTCTTGACAACAGAGACTGTGATCATATGCATGTTTGTATTTCTACTGCCTAGCATGGTTGAAGCACTCCTGAAAATCCTAATTATATGTTTGTTGGCATAGAGGGGAAAAAAAGGAAAAAGAGTTGGAAATAAAACTAAGATCTTACATAAGCAGTGAGAAACAGAAGCTCGAAATAGGTAATTATTGAAAGGGAGAGAGAGAGAAAGAAATTTGCGCTGAAACTCTGATTGTCCTTTGGAAAATGTACTTGTTTCTAGTTAAAGAATAGGGAAGTAGAAAAAGTAATGAGTCCATTTCCTTCATTTCATCTCCCATTCTCTTTCCACCCTTCTTTTTTTTTTTTTTTTTTTTTTTTCCTGAGGCAGAGTCTTGCTCTGTTGCCCAGGCTGGAGTGCAGTGGCACAATCTTGGCTCACTACAACCTCCACTTCCCAGGTTCAAGCAATTCTCATGTCTCAGCCTGCTGAGTAGCTAGGACTACAGGTGCCTGCCACCATTCCTGGCTAATTTTTTATATTTTTGGTAGAGATGGGGTTTCACCATATTGATCAGGCTGGTCCCGAACTCCTGACCTTAGGTGATCTGCCCACCTCGGCCTCCCAAAGTGCTGGGATTACAGGCATGGGCCACCGTGTCCAGCCAACCCTCCCTATTTTTGTGGCTGACATATTTTCTTCTTTTGGAGGCCAGATATTACTTCCCAAGGCTCTCTGTTGCCCACTTGGCATGTGCGTGCACGTGTGTGCGTGCGCGCGCGTGCGCACACACACACACACGCCAGCTTTCCTATAATCCTTAATGCTCCCGAAGCTTCTCGCAAGATCCTTTCACAGGAAAAAGATGAAGCATGGTGATTTCTCCATTTCAGCTTCTCTTTGTTCTGAGAGAAAATATTTTATAAGTCTCTATTTATAAATCAAAGTGATAATGTAGTAAATTATCCCATTTTAAAAGTTTATTTTAGGGGACAAATGTGTTTCCAGCTCATGATCTTTTCATATGGGCTTTCATTAAGTTGTAATAAGTATGTAATTATGGGGGTTGAATTAAGCATCTCTAGTCACAAAACATAAACAGGCCCCCAAAAAAGATCAACGCAATTTAACCAAAATTGGAAAATCAATGAAAATGAATAAAGAGTATCACTCTTCCGTGAGGGTTTCCAGAGTTCAGTGCTGATCCAGGCAACATCAGTGCAATCCAAAGGAAAGAAATGTCCCTAAATTTAGGCGAGCCTTGGCTATTTCCTTGTGCTGTGATAAGCTTCACTTCAGCATGTTTGCTGAGGAGGTGGAACGTGACTCTAAGTTCTTGTCTTTGAGGGTAAAAAGCTTGCACATCAGATGTCCAATGGAGTTTCCCAGAGTTTGCAATGTTTTCCTCTCACTGAGACACGGCACTTTTTGTAGGATTCACATGGATGCGATAGTTTCTTCAGCAGGTTTGTGGGATTTTATTACTATTATTATTTCTGAAGACTTTCTGAGAAGGCCTGTCTTAGGAGTGGTTTTAAAGTCTACTTCTCAGCCTGCTGGGCAGAAAGAACATTTAATACAGCATTTTGCAGCATTCGTTCAAGAAAGTATCCCATTTGGGACCCTGTGGACTTTGAGATGATTCAAGTTGATTTTAAGGTGTGTTACCTTGTCTCCCGTCTTCACTCGCAGTATCTCAAATTGCAGGTTGGAGCAATAAATATACTGAGTGCAGGCATTTCTGTCACAAACTCCTTCAAGAGCAGGAGCTGCAGAAACCACACCCACCCATTCCCCCCAAGCACGCGCGCGCGCGCGCACACACACACACACACACACACACACAGAGCTCACCAGCACCTCTGGCTCTCACCTGAACGAGGGACAAAGCAAACGTGTGTTTCTTGGCTTGTTGGGAGTGGATGCTCTGGAAGCCCATTGAGTGACAGGAGCTCAGTTGACACAATAACCATTTTTCATCTTTATTTTCCATTTAGTCCATTTCCTTTCTTAAGTGCATCTACCAAAGAGGACCCCAGCAGCGAGTGTTTCACCAAGGGAGAGACAGATGATGCAAGATGAGTGGGGAGGTGGCAGGCACTGGGAATTTTCTTTGAATCTGTCTACCTAATCATTGTCCCTGCCTTTTACTTATTTACTTCGTAACAAGACTTGTAACTGAGGATAGTCATGTAGGGCAGTGGAGAAATGACCCTTACTTTGTTGTCACTTTGATTGTCATCCGTTCTTCTTCCCACCCTCCTCCCCTCCCAGGATGTCTCACCTGGAGCCAACTGAGGCAGGTCCCCTCATCTAATCTGCGCCTCTCCTGCTCCAAGGATTGGCAGCCACTGTTCTTGAAAGAGTCCACGGCATCTCTGCCTGCACTCACCATAGTCAATGCTCAAACATGCAATTTGCAGGATGATATTTGGCTTTCCCATGACATATTCCCAGTGCCTAGCACATGAGAGATGCTCAAAGAAATATTTGTTGAGAGATGAAAGGCAGGAAAGATGTGAGGAAGAGAGCGTGATTCACATTGGCTTGAGGGCAGGTGAACTGGCCATTTCTTCCCCCTCCATGAGCTCAGCATTAATAGATAGCAACTTTCCCCAAGACATGTGCATTTTCCATTACAAGCTCATCCATTTACTTGTTCGGAAACCCTACCAGAACATACACTTCCGGAAGAAAGGGACCTTGGATTTCTGTTCTGTCTCTGTATTCCCATTGCCAAATATAGCACCAGATAAATAATAGGCACTGGGTCAAGATCTGTCAGGTTAGCGGGGTGGATGAGTGGATGACCTGTGCTCTTTAAGTTTATATTATCTCAGAACATTCTGCAGGATCCACATTCTAGCATGGATATATAAACAGAGGAAGTTACTTTATTATAGTTGAAAGCTTAGTCTTACCCTTGTGCAATCATCCAGTAATCTAATTTATTCACATCATGTTTACCTTCTGCAGGAACTGCTTTAAAAAATAGTGCCTTGGTCCACTGGGTGAATAGGATGGACGGGAGGATCTGTGCCTCTTGCTTAAGTGTTTGGGGAAATGTTTGCAGAAAATAAGAGCCATATATTCTAGTAAATGAAATTGGGTTCATTTGGGGCACTGTTTTATTATTTTCTATAGCCATACTTAGCTCCTTGTTTCTGGCATCTCTGTCTATGTTTTTAAACTATGTCTGGCTGCACTACAAAATAAAATCAGATAAAGGTCTCTAACGTTTGATAAATGGTTTATTTAGTTGATCATCTTGGCTGCTAGACTGAAATTCATCTGCTGAAATCTGCCAACTTTCTGAACACAGCCACAATTTGCAACTACTCAGAGTAGCTAATGGTCAGGGTTTGTTTTTTTTTTTTCTTTTTTAATGGAAATAGTTTCCAAAA